CACCAGTTTCGAGGAGTTTGCCCACAGTTCTCAGATGACCATGTTTAGTCATTACGGCCACATGTACGTACCAGATTACTTGCATAAATCCTCGGGAAATGTGCATGAACATAATTCGATGCAGTACCATGGTACACAACATAATCACTATGGAATGTACAAAAATAGTTCAGATTGTGTAAATAATGACAACAAAAGTGATACTCATTACACTACTCTAATGACACTGCCATATCAAGCTAGTAATAGGATGCAAACTGTAGAAAGTGATGAGAACTGGTTCAGTCACAACACGTTGCTGAGCTTGGACCACGCGGACCAGACCACGCAGGATGCCTCGGACTCACAGTCTCAGTCTGCGGACACGCCAACGGAAAGCAATAATGCCGAGACTACGGAAAATTTCGGTGAACTAATTAAAAAAACTATGGTAGAGTCTGTTACTGTGTAGATGAATTACTTGTTGTATTTTAATCATCTTAATTATCATGTTATGAAATTTTTAATTATATTAATTGGTAAACTCAAAGAAGTACTTTATTGAAAATCTTTCAAATCTGCAGGGTCACCTATGTGTAACTTTATTTATCACTATAAATAAACATTTGTGCTCATAATAATCAGCAAATATTGATAACTAAGCGCGTATCGCATTTGTTGAACTTCATTTTATGTCCGCTTCGAGCACAAACACTTAGAAATTAAAGAATTAGATAAGTAAAAATATTATTAATATCTAAAATATTTTCCCTTTTTTACACTGAGACAAAACAAGAGAAGTAAAGATGTAAACACGCTATCACTGTCCTGATACGCTCGTATTCGCAGAACAAGGAACAACTCATATATCAGTGGGTAAACGTGCGCAGACAGTGTATCAAGGACGTCTGCTACAGGCTACAGCCTCTTGAGACACAAACAATAACACTCACTACACTACACATATCAATCACTGCAGGAGTTACCTTACAGCTTTAACTTCCAAGTAGTATATAGACTTCATATCATTCCCTGATTACTACAATATATACTACAGATAAATTAAATTTAAGTGTCTGTTTGTAATATTGAAATAACCGCTTTTTACTACATACATACGATACATATATGTACCAAAATAACACTTTAAATTTTTTCTGTCTATCTACCTGTTTGTAATGACTAATCTCTTAAATGACTGGACCAATATTTTGAAGGGACTTTTATAGGCAGGTAGCTGATATACTAAGGAATAGTATAGGCTACTTTTATTTTAGAAGAACGCAGACGAAGTTTCGGGTACAGCTAGTTATACCTATAGTACCTACTATACAATCCTATATTGATGACATATTTCTAAACTTGTGCCTCGAATTACTTAGGACGGGTCTCTAGTACCTAAGTCTAGTAATTTGAGACACATTACAGACAGACACATTAGTATAATTAGAGTAAATTGTGCCTGTAATTCCCAAATTACAAGCACAGATCTTTGTATATGAAACATGTACATTTTCCTAGTTATTCTATGAGCCCCATCCTATCAAATAAGGGTAGTCTAATGCCAGGCACAATAAATATTACCAGATCCCAAGCTATTGCGGTTAATTTCTAAAATCGGTAACCTCAATAATGATTTCACGACCCTACCGATAGTTTCGGAAGTCGGTAGCGAAGTCACCGTCATCTCAGCAAAACATCACACATTTCGTTTCGTAAAGATGTCAACAGAAGTGCAGAACAAACAAAAATCTACAATAATCCATGTAAAATAGAAGGTAAGCGTACCTATTACTATTTATAAAAGCCTTGTACTTAATATTAATTTGTGATATCATTTGCAATAGTGAACTCCTCCCAGTTGAGTTCAGAAGATAGTGAATGCTTTCGAGGTCACCCAGTTTTTTTTCCTATATTGATATCGGTATTAAATGTATGCAGCGTTACGCTATTCATAATGATAATATTTATTGTTATTACATATCTACATTTCTAAGATTTTTTTATTGCCTTGGTATACATACTGCTACTAGTGTACTAGGATTACAGCAACTAATCTGTACAGGGTGTAAGGAGTAAAAACGAATCAAATGTTTCTTTTATGTACATAATAATACTAGTAATCAACTGCTCAATGCTGATGTTGTATAAATGCCACGACAACTAAAAACGATTAAAATTGTAAAACCAAAAATATGTTGTCGGCCTTTTCGGAAGCCTTCTGTTTACAGGTTGCATTCCGCCTGATGGTATGCGAATGCGATACTTGATAGGTAACCGCAGTCTTAAGTGTTAATATGTTGCAGACTTTGTAGGTAATAAATAACGCTATTTTTGACGAACATTATGCTGCCTTAACAGAAAGATTCTTCCTTAAATTTAGTTGACTGCTTTCATTTCGAAATTGCCAAAAAAGCTATAAAGTCCAAATATGACCTAGCAGCTTAGTTTATTATAGTGCTTATTCCTGAAAACACTACCCCAAAATAAGTATCCACACATGTAGTATGGAGGTAGATACAGGACAAAGGTTAAAACAGAAGGGTTCGGTGTACTGGAGTAGGGAGTGTTTTTTTTGTAAGCTGGGGCGGCCGCAGGCTGGAGCTTGAAGAACAATTGCCATTTCTATGGTAGGTAAGTAGATAAGGGTAAGTACTTACTGTAAATAAGTGAATATTGAAAGGGTACCTACTCAATTTTAAGTTTTACTTATGCCATCTGTCATTTTAAAAATAATTTACAATGCAGAACTCAAGCGCTACTTAAAATTGTGTCATAAGTATCTCGATCTGTATATCTGTAGTATCAAATATTAAAATTAGTATAGTGGTTTGCAGCAAGCACAGGAGTTCTTATGGGTAATCGGCACCAGCGACCTCCCGTGTCCGGCTTTAGTTTTACCATGGTACGGAGCGAGGGGAACTGAGATTCTCCTGCTTATGCGAAGCCGTCATGCTAGCTACAGATTGATGGCTGTTCAGACCACCACAGATGGGCCCATTAGGGCTTATGATGATACGGAACTGGGGGCTCTGGCTCGAAGAGCATAGGTAGGAAGGAGGTGGCTTTTAATCAATAAAAGTCTGATACTCTCTCTCGTTTCACCTACGGCGGAAGAAGTCATTGGATTAATTGAACCCTCAAAAAAGGGGGTTCTTATACATTTCACCACTTTTGGTTTAGTTTAGCACCAGTACAACAAACCCTAGGCCCTAGATAAGACGGGATTGTCTTAGTTAAATTCCAAATTGTCTAATAGTGATTCAGATTCCTAATTTTAGCGAAAATTTTACTAAGATATCTAGATTAAGAGCTAGAGTAAACATGCGATACCTAGATATTTTTAACTCTGTGGAGCGTAGGCGAAATCACAGCTAAAAGCTAGTATTTAACTAAAAAAATAAAAGTAGATCACTTAACGAAAACACATTCCATAAATATAAAATTGGCATCAGTTCGGCGATGGCGCACATATTTGTTGGTACCATGAATCGTATGAAAAAACTAAAAAAATAACTGTTAGTACCTCCTGTAATACTGTAACTATGCATCTAGTCTAGCTATCCTTTTAGAGTAAACACGGGTATGATATGTAGTCAACTGATCATCGTGACACAGACCTATCCCAACTTCCAGATCAGGCGGTTGGAAAATTGTCAGCTCCGTAAGCTAACCATATACCTTTAGTTAGATAGAATTCTTCCAGATTTTGTATTTCCTGAAGGGTGGGTGTCTTCAAGGACCGAGTGAATAGGTTGCTTATGGTACTACGTGCTCCATCGTAGTCCGCATCATCGGTTACCACCAGGCGAGATAGTGGTCAAACGTCGGCCCACCAAATATAAAAAAAAGAAAACTATGAGTCTCCTGTATGCAGGTAATGAATCAACTAACATAAAAATCAAATTCACACTAGCGTAAAGACTAAAATACCTCAAAATAAATAGGTTAGAAAAATACTCGATCGTGCCAAAAAGAAAGCTTTATTGCTATCTGATTCATTGATATGTTCATTTTGTACATTGCATGCAAACATTGGAATGATTGTCCTTGACTTCTAACTGCTAAAACCTACGTAACTTTAAAAAGGTAGGTAAGGTATGTAAAATTTTTAATCGATTCTGAACTTAATTATGTTATTTCAAAGTTGTTATTTCATTGGCGACTTTTCGGTTTGGGTATGTTGTTGTGCCAGCTGTTTATTATATGTGTAGGTAGGTTTTATAAGCTACGGCGCATAAAGAAATAATGTTCGATCCAGACACCGCCCTTCATTCCGGGGCGGCCGGGCGGCAGGCGCCTTGTCGCTCGCTCGTAATTGCTTGGTAACGGAAGTCGAGCCAATAAATGTGCAGTTTTTAAATTGAATGAGCAAAACCTAGTTTTGAAATAAAAATACTTTGTAAGTCAAAATGATAAAGAGTTTGTTCGTTTTACAAACCGGTGCTGGTTTCCGTTTAAAAATACTAGGCCGCCTATCGGGAACTTTTACCTAGTAGATAACATAAATATCAAGTCTGTTATTTCTTAAAAGCTTGCACAAAAGTCAGCAATGTAACTACATTAAACTGTGAAACACCAAGCGGTCACCGGTGACCGCGACCTATTGTTCTTTAATTGTGTCTATAAAACCGGTACTCGACGAGTTAATTATTAATTACCAAGTTACCTAGATACTCTGGCATTAGAAATTTCGAAGTTGAAAGTCTAATTAAACCCTTAGCTCCATCCGATATATATCCCAAGACAAGAAGCTGAACATTCACGCTTACGAAACTATACGCGGCAGTCTTACCAGGTAACAGCAGATGAACAGAAAAAAAGTTACACAACGAATTGCAAAATCAAATTACTAAAACGATAACTCTTTATTGGACATATTCTCATTTTGTCTTTTATATTATTACGTCTAATAACACACTAATAAATCTTTTTTCTTTACGTATTGTTCGAATATCACAATGTTTATAGATACACAATATTATCTGTCATGATTCTTAATACTGCGGACGTGGTGTACGTCAGGAACTATGCTTAGTTTCCCAGATCTTGATTATTTTGTCTTCACTGGCAGTGATCAATGTTTTTGAGATCTCGTCGAAATAGACGTTGTTGATAGAATCTGAAACAAAACACATTCTTCAGTAACAATCACGAGGTAGTAATACCATGTATTATTAGAAATAGATGTTAGGTAGGTACCTATCTGATTTATGGGAAATTAGATTACATTTTCGGGGTAAAAGTCTTGGTCTTAGAGTTAAATAAGGTTGGTAGTCTGTATAAGTAGTCACCAAATCAAATGCTTGTCATTTTTAAGTCTGTAGGTTCTAACAAAAGTAAATATACTACGTGTAGTGACTAAGGATTTAAGTTTAACGTGTCTGCGATGACTGCTTGACTTGATATTAGTCATACTTAATTATATTCTTGAATTTGCCGCTTGTGACCACTCAACAAGGGTATCAACATGTCACAACATGTATAATGCGAAACACGCAGTCATTTACACTGCTACATTAAGAGAGACAGTTTATATAGGGTTATGGAAACGTATCCTGGAGTATCTTATAGAAACGAAACCTAACCTATGCTGAAACGTAGAACCCTTTTGCTAGGTCCCCGATTCGTCTACTGTAAAGAGGACCCGGTGCCTACTAGACTAGGTGGCCGCCGAATAGATTTTAGTGAGTCTCTTTTTCCCGATAAGCTAGGCTGCTTTTAAAGGTTTGCCCCCGTCAACAAATTAAAGGGCCCTCTTGATCCTTCAGAGGACATTAAGATGGAATATGGATAATGATATACCTATGTATTTAGAGGTTAAAATTAATTATAAAACATGATGTGCCCTGTTCGCGAAATTTAGTGTTGCTATTTATAGCCATTTATTGAAATTATACCATTAAAATAAGATGCTAATTAAAACAACACTTATAGTAATCGAAAACATATAAACAAACTTTTATAATTTCACTTTCTTCGAACAAAACATCACGAACCCGCGTTATCATTTAAAAATAAAACGTTACTGAGGAACAACGATTGTGTAACCAAATCATCAATTTAAATATTCATGCAAACAATTATTTAAATACAGTTAGACAGTAATATCTTAATTTTTCATAAAAACCTAACAGATGTGTATTGTTCTAGTAGAGTAGGGGTTCGTAGTCGTCCCACTTTTCACTTTTACTCTATTGTAACATAGGGCGAGTGTACGGTTAAACACCACGCATAATAGATGTTTCCTGTTGGTCAAATTCAATGGTGTTTTTTATGTCATAAATGTTAGTTTTCTATGCATTTAGTATGAGATTGCAAGTTCTGTCTGGCGCAGTATTTTTTGTTTGCAATAACTTCATTCAATACTTATTGTAAATTAGCTTTTAGTACGTGATTACGAGCCCCGGAATGTTATATTTTTTATATACAACAACTTAATTCGAAACTTCTCGTAAATTAAATGATAGTTAGAAAAATCAAAATTAATGAGAGTTAAATTATTTTTAAATACTCTAGTGTAGACTTAAAAGTGCTAACAATTTTTCTTGGCTTTCCAAAACATCCCTATTCCAGACTCTAATCTTATCCTAAATCACTTTTAAAAACGAAACGCTTCTTTTCTCTACATATGAATTGAGCTGCAAATTGCGATCATTGGAAGTAGTGAGCATTTACCTAAGTAATATTTTTAGCGTTAGGTATACGTCTCAGTTTTAATAGTTTTCTTACGGCACGTGTACACACGATAGCTACGAATGCGACTGATATTATCGCATTTTAAAACTCGATTTAAATACTTTGTGACATTTTATAACGTTTGTTGTAAGAAATATACACAGTTCTCTTGTTAAGAAAAGTGAAGTTTCACTTCATTATTATGATTTTTAATAAGAGAGACATATTTATAGTAATAACTAAGTACCTACTCTAATTTTTCGGTACTGCTATCCCCAAGACAAATATGAGGATTGTGGCGACCTTCTACAGTAGTAAATCAAAGAAGTAAGGCCCTGAAGTAAAATTTATTTTATTTTTAAGTTACAGTAAAATTCATGTCAGATGGATATGTCTGATCTGTCATCAAAAGTGTATCAAATGCAATTTCAGTACTTATTATCAACAACTATCAATTATAATGCCTTCTGTGCAAATGTCTTTTATTTGAAAACGCAAAGATGCACATTTAATATGTACCTATGTAACACAAAAGTAACTATTAAATAATACTTTGGTGTTAGTTATAATGTGTGTAACATAATAAAAGACAAACCTATTAATGTTTCCGGCTTACTCACGCAACTATTTGACAAGGAACTCGACTAGTTTCAAGCCATGTTAGAGGCTCATATTCACGCTTGAAACTAGTCGAGTTCCTCGTCAAACAATTACGTGAGCTAGCCGGAAACATAATAATTAATTTGGTATGTCTCACGAAATTTTTAATATATCTAAACATTACAAACCTGTTGTCATTTAATCGATCATTAATTAAAGTAGGTAATCAATTGTTTGTCATTTTTATCAAATCAGAATAGCAAGCACTATATTCATTCACGAAATGATGACGTATGGAAATGTGGCCTTACAAAAGTCCTTGTTGATAATACGTTAGTACTGCAGCTGAACAAGCCGCAAGCTTGTCTTATAACCGTGTGATATGAAAATCAGACAAATATTTTTGGCACGTGTAACTACTTTTGTCCAATAAAAATGTTGAATAAATGATCGCTAGCAGCATAACTGTAACGCGAGGCTTGGGAATATTGCGTTTTGCGTTTGGGTACTACACGTTTGAAAAACATTTCTATTTTTTTTTGTATTTTTGCAGGTTTAAAAATATACATAGTGGCTTTTCTTGAAATATAGCAGATTCACGTGTTTATGTTTTACATTATTTCGATTTATACACCTATCTTGAAGTCACATCAACAAGATATAAGTTCTCCTAAGGCAATTGTATAAAACTTTAATAGATAAATATAACGCCACTGTTTTCAATTATCTATGGAGTAGGCTAACTGTTGTTAGTTCTACGTCTATGGCATGAAATTAATGGGTCAAAATCTTTTGTGGTCAAGTATAAGTCAAAAAATCTTGAGCAGTCTTAGTTTTGCATTGTAATTGTCACTATGTCAAACATCAGTTGTCTTAAGGAGTTAAGGGTGAAAATAGCTGTGATCCTCCACCAATCAAACCTTCGATTGGAGCCACATACAAAAAGAAAACCTAAAACGTTTTCCTAAATCGAATCTGGCTGAAACTTGCTTGTCACTCTATCCTACGGATACTTAAAAATTCAACCTAAAACAAGTATATAGCTACTTACCATTATGAGCCTTATGTGCACTGGTTTGTGTGACCGTCAACATGTTCCACTGCAGTAACGTTCCGTCTCCGCAGCCAAGCCATAGCACGGTGGACCCGTCCCAGCACAGTGACGTCACTGGCGCTGGCATGTGTTTCTGGTATACCTGATTGAGAAGTAGTACATTATGTTTTGTGCTCTATAGACATATGCGATGCAGACATGACCATAATTAGATTTTAAGTAATATTTAATGTAAAACCCTATTTCATTAAATTGTTTACATAACTGCATCATTCATTGTGTCGACTAATTTGCCACAATTATTCAGAAAAACATAAACGGAAATATCATCATATGCCTAATAAATAAGTTAAAATAGACTAAAGGATTCTGATTCAATTGGGTAGTTGCCAGGGTAAGAAGATTAAAAATCTAATTAGTTCGTCAGTTAGATAATGAAAAAATATTAGACACGTATTTTTTTATTTTCTTATATAAAGTTACAATACTTAGATAAAATGGCGTTAAGTTTAGGGTAAGGAGATCGTTACAGCGTGCTACATTTTACAGCACGTTGTGACGTCACACGAAGTTTCAAATTAATATATCTTCGAAAGTACTGAATTTTGTGAAAAAAGAAAAAATACGTGTCTAATGTTTTAAAATAATTACAAGACGAACATTAAAATAAAATTTAGGAAACTATCGTATTCTTTCAATATATCATTTCAAAAGATATTAGCAGAAACCTTCTTCAAAGACGAAATGAAAAGAAAAATTTACAACAAATAATGTTGAAATTAGCGTCCGGATTACCGGAAATATAACACTTAAGTCCTATTTACATACGCTGAACTTGAAACCCAACACGTGCGACATAAGTTCCGCATCTCCCGCACACTAGGCATTGAGATAAAATAGCGATCAAACTGAATCAGAACGCTAGCTGATTAAAAACTCGGTGAACGACACAGAAACTAAAGAACTAGAAGTACAGTCGTGAGATAAGAAACAAGAGAAATAAAACCTGTAGTTAAAATCCCCATGTTTACATACACATAACATCACGCCTTTTATCCCCGAAGGGGTAGGCAGAGGTGCACTCAGAAGTAACACCCACTTTTCACTATTTATGTTATGAGTCCCATGTAATAGGGGGTGAGCCTATTGCCATATACCGGGCACATTTCCAGACTCCATGCTACGACTGAGATTTTTTTTTTAAAAACCCAGTAATATTTTTCCCGACCCGGGAATCGAACCCGAGACCCCTTGCCCGGCAATCGCACTTGCGACCACTCGGCCACCGAGGCAGTCAGGCAGCAGATGTTTACATAGTTCTCTATAATAATAAATGTGAGAAAAACCCGTACCTATTTACTCTTCCATATTTAGATTTAGTCAATTTATAGGTATTTTATAGGTGGTAAAAGATAACACAAAGAAAAATACGTGTACAAGTTAGTTGAATTTTCCGTTAAAAAATAAAACGATATACTCAACAAATTGCTAGACTGCCTCGTTGGCCGAGTGGTCGCAAGTGCGACTGCCGGGCAAGGGGTCTCGGGTGCGATTCCCGGGTCGGGCAAAGTATTACGGGGTTTTTAAAAATTCTCAGTAGTAGCACGGAGTCTGGAATTGTGCCCGATATATGGCAATAGGCTCACCTCCTATTAAATGGGACTCATAACATAAATAGTGAAAAGTGGGTGTTACATTGTACAGTGGCATAATGTGCACCTCTGCCTACCCCTTCGGGGATAAAAGGCGAGATGTTATGTTATGTTATGTCAACAAATTAAAATATTTTTTCTTGGTTCTTATTATTTTCGTTCGTCGCTTATTACGACCTACATGACAACCTACCCTTGAGATACCGAACCCAATAAAATACCTGGTAACAAAAAAAACACTTACCGAATCCAGAACACTAAGGTCAGTGACCCTCATGTCTCCATCATCACAGGCAGTAACGACCCTGTCTCCGGACAGCACGAAGCAGACGCCGCTGACAGGCGACGAGTGGACGCTGATCTTGTTCACCAGGTCCTTCGACGTGTAGTCCCATATGAACACCTCGCCGTCACCTGTAGCTGCTATTATGTCGATCTCGTGGCGGCGGCGTCTGCGCAAATGTGGTTAATTAATTTAATAGGTCAAAAATTATTATAATCCTTACTAATATTATAAATCGGAAAGTGAGTTTGTTTGTTTGTTCCGCTTTCACACCGCAACTACTAAACCGATTGCTTTGAATTTTTGCAGACGTAAAGTTAGAAGTCCGGATAAAACAATAGGGTACTTTTTATCCCGGAAAAATTTGATATTCCCGAGAGAAAACAAAAGTATTGGTATAGATGGCGCTGTATGTATTGGTATATGTTATACAGGCTACCTTTTATCCTTTTGTGACGCGAGCGAAGCCACGGGTAAAAGCTAGTCGTAAATAAAAGTACTTAACCCGCCGCTATCATTATTGGAAGCTAAAGAGGATGACCGACAAGGAGGAGATTTGTGACTAAAAAAAAGAGAATAAATAGCAACACTTCTATTCATGTGTTGTTGTATTGTTGTCTGCATGTGTGTCGTAGCGTAATAAATGGTTTTTCTTTCTTTCTTGGCTCATTTAATTACTCAATTAATGGCTCAATTAATTGACAATATAAGTACAAGATAATTGAATATTAGTTAACTTATAAGTAAGTATATTACTTTTTAGCCTAATAGGGCAGTAGTTCTAAAAACATTATGAATAGTGAACTGACCTTATGAAAATATATAATATCGATTTGAGTTAAACAACTTAAGCACTTTATAAAAAGTTGTTCATAGTTGCAAATACATTTATTTTCTATAAGTATAATTCAAAGTGTTTCAAAACAGGACCCAGTGTGACAACTTTCTAAAATTATACACTGTCTGCGAGCTGAGTCACTAAATGATACGTAACATTACCGATTAAGTTTATACATAACTATGGTACCTATACAATACATGTACACGTACAGATTTTACTATGTGCAGTACGGATACACTATCGACCTATATAATATTGCATTTAATATTTACGCTATTTTCGATTGTAAAAATGGACTCAAAACTCCATGAAGGTGCAATTAATAAGACTTTCGATTTTAAGTAAAAGAATATTAAAGTATTACAAATTAAAATAAACTTCTGATTATGTAGGTTCGTGAATCAACATGACTGAGTCAAGTGACATCTTTGTTCTTGTAAATACCTACTTCCTCGAAATGCAACACAGTGGCTGGTAATATTGCAAGCACAGCTTATATCGTGGCCATTTATGGAAACACACTTGGTTTATGGCCATGTATAGTCGATATAACTGCGCTATTAATAAATAAGCATTAGTGCATAACAGCCAAATATTTCAGAAAAATATTGCCCGTTTAGAAGCACCTTATGGAAGAGAAAATAGCTGACATAATCGCGCAATAAGTGCGCACTAACACAATAGGAAGCTTATAATTTTAATACAATAATAATAGCGGCTGTAAGTTCATTGTCACACAGTAAACATACCCTCCAGACATACAAATAACATTTTAATAGCTATTGTTTTCCAAATATGAAATTGGCTAAAATGTAAGACGTATTAACTCTATAGGTCATACGACAAACAAACTAAAGGATGAATAAAACACGTATACCGTATATTGCGTTAATAATCAGTCTCAACATTACCCGTCGATAGATTTTTAAGGCATCGACCGGTAAACAAGCGTTGCGATCCCAACGCGCAGTAGGCGTCGCATCGCCCTAAGAAATACGCATAATCAGAAGAGTTTTGAAGAAGTCTTCGGTAACCTCACTCTCATAGATGTAACACGAAAACAACGTAGGTGTAGCGTAAGCGTTGCATCACACCGGTATTTTGAAGCCCTAGCTAGTAAATAGTATGGTAGTATCTGTACCAGAAATAGGATTTTGATGAATAGGGTAGACGACTAATTTTTATTTTAATGTCCGTCTGATAGATTATTTAAAAACATTAGACACGTATTTTTTCTTTTCTCACAGAAACGAATAGTTTCGAAGATATATTGATTTGAAATGTCGCGTGACGTCACTTCTCAGTACATTTTATACTAAGAAATGACGTTTTAGCCCCCACTCCTAAACTTTGATTCGTTTTATCTAAGTATTGTTTTATTATACGACAAAATAAAAAAATACGTGTCTAATATTTTTTCATTACCTAACTTACGGACTAATTATATTTTTAATTTTCATACCCTGTCATCATCCCCATTTTGACATCACTTACCTATACGTAAGGCTTGTAATTTTCTCGTCGTGATCAAATTCCGCCTTCAGTCCGCGCAGAGCCTGTCCGATCCTGCCGACATTGCCCCACACGCGAACTACGCCGTCCCATCCACCCGAAATCAATAGACGCTCTAAAATAAATAAAATGTTATTAGAATAAAAAAATTAAAAAGAAACCTAATAATTTTATTTTATCAATATAAATTTCTAAAGTATAATTTATACATAATATATGACATCACGTTTTTTACCCCGAAAGGGTAAGCAGAGGTTAACATTACAGCACTGCCACTGTACAATGTAACACCTACTTTTCACTACTTATGTTATGAGTCCCATGTAATAGGGCGTGACACTATTGCCATATGCTACTGAGACTTTTTTTAAAAAACCCAGTAATACTTTGCCCGACCCGGGAATCGAACCCGAGACCCTTTTTCCGGCAGTCGCACTTGCGACCACTCGGCCAACGAGGCAGTAAAATTTAATATTTGCTGATTAAATGTATTGGTTATTTTACACAAACTATTTGTTTAGCTTGAAATTTATTTTTAAAGCAAAATGAGTAGTTTGAATATTTTCTTAAATGAGTATGGGCTGGTTTCAGTTTTGCGTTAAATTTAATGTATGTATGTGTCATGTGATTGAGTATATTCTCTTTAAAAACGCAATTTTTATCCTCCAAGTAGCCTGTACTGTGTACGGAGAAGAATGGATGGTCATTGGTCGGACTTCATTGTTCAGCTTGTATACATCTAACATTACCACTAAAATATGTTGACAAAATAAATAACAAACCTTTTTCTAACCACAACAAACAGCTGACAGAATCATCATGAGCACGAAAACTTTCCACAACTCTCCCATATTCTACATCATACAGATATCTGCAAATTACAGACACAATTTAGTACACAACCACTTCCCACGACAATAAACTTTATCTCAATATAAATAAGGTTGTCTTTACATTTCATTATCCCAGGAACCAACAGCTACCGTGTTATCATCGACCATTACACACGAACTTAAAGGAGTAGAACTGAGAATGACGCTCCTTATTTGTTTTTTTAAAACAGTATCGTATACTTTGAGAGTGCTATCCTTTCCCACAGATATAATTCTATTTCCATGCCGAATAGCACAAGTTACAGCCTCTTTATGCAATTGTAATACATCGACGCATTCCATTTTATAAGTATCTTTGTCCTGTAAACTGGACAGTGGTTTAGCAATGTGCGGCATTATTTTTTTGACGTGCGGTTTTGTGAAGAGCTGCTTCGGCACTTGTCCAAATTCCATGATTTGCACCTCTAGTGCGTGCCTGTCGTTCATATCGTAAATACATTCGAGATTGACCGCACCCTCATAGCATACGTGGTGGAACACTGCAATGAAAAATGATTATACGTTAAGATACTATTGGTTCCAGTAGGGGTGATGCCCGATACGGAGCCGCGGAAGGCCTAATGGGTTGCAAGGGCTCCGGCTCGAAGAGCAGGAGTAGGAACAGGGTGGTTTTTAGTCAATAAGAGGTTGACACCCCCTTTCCCCTAATCCAAGGCGGGAGAAGTCTATGGATGATTTTGCCTCCTCAAAAAAAAGATACTATTGGTTAACAACGAAATTGTTTCATATTCATTCAAATAACATTGGAGTCATCTATTTTTGGTTGACGCATTCATTTTTCAGTAGGCGACCTAGCCACTGAAATAGAATACTGTGATAGAAAGGTTGTCAAACAATATCAATCGATGTAGATAAAGCATGGCTTGATGAGTGTAATCAAGCCTACATTTTTATCTACGCATTTTATCGTTCAAGGTTGAAACGCTTTTGGTGTGAACTGAAACACATGACGCATTGGATCGACTGATGACATGCATATGAAATAGATTATAAATCAACCTCAATGGTTACTCACTCAAAGTCTGAATTTCAAGAATGATCGCTCTATTTATGTGGTATGTGGATAATCTATGCATCAACCTTGAGTAACGTAACTTTTTTCATGACTTGTGAAATCTGGAGGTCATCTTATTATGTTAGTTAATGTAAATTGTCTATTTATACAAACCATTGTTAGCTTTAACTGCCTCTTCGCCTCTTTGTCGGTAGCCGAATATTAGATCGATCCATAAATGTAAATGTCTGCATACAAATTCTGATTCGAGAGCTTCCCTTAATTTTACTACGAAGTCCTCGGGCGACTTGGCCCATGGTGGGAGCGCAACATTGTTGACCTTGGTCCCATCGTGGCGCTCCCCAAAATTGATCTCGTACTGGTTCACCAAGAAATCGCCTTTGCATTCTGTATCGTAAAATTCGGGAACTAATTCCTGAAAACAATAAAATAGGAATTAAGCCAAAAGATAAGATAATTTTATCAATATCGATTGATGAGTTATAAAAATGCATCACTGAGCTTTCCTTTAACAAAATTGGTACGCCAGTTGAACTTTTATTAAAAAAAAAACTATAGTTATAGTATAGTACGAAAAGGTACGGGTTCCTAATCTAGTCACGAGTCATTGAGCGTTGGTCACGATTCAGTAAACCTAGGGACTCTCCCGTTATTTGGGTCGATGACCTTATAAAGCGTCCGGTACAGATTGAAGGAATGACGAATGCTCCAATGTGCATTGTACTCATTACATCGTAATGTGATACTGGTTACTCCCCGTAAGGGTAGGAAGTAGGTAATGTAGTACACTCATTAATACCAGTTATGTTATTCTATTGATCTTGTAAAACTATATATATTTGGTCAACATGACTAATATTGACTTGGGCCTATTAAGACCTGACTAAGGGCCGTTTTTCCAACGCCAAATAAATTTGCACTGAGAAATAACTTTGAATATTTGACAATTCTTCCATACAAAAAAAAAACTGTGAAATAACAATTTTATTCTACAGTTTTTCTAAAATATTCTAGAATTAACTGATGATTGGAAAATCGGCCCTATACTGTTTTAAGTTTCAGTACCCCATATTAAAATAGGTCTAATGATTAATTCTTCATTCTTAAGACATAACAACTGATTAATTAGTAATGTATTACACTATGTTATTACGAATTTAAAAACAGCCATGAATGCTGGCTGCATTCTAAGTGTGACTAATAAATTGTACATACCACAAATAAAAAATTAAATTGTAATTTACCTTAAAGTCGGACATATTTCTCAAACAGTTGTTGTAGACATCTCTCACTGAATTGAACATTCGGTCTGGATGATCGAATCTGCCGTTTTGTAAGCACAACATGTATTTTGGGTATTTGCGAACCTGAAAGTTAAGAATAACAGAAGATATAAAAACTAATTAAAGATTTAAATAATATTATAATTAATATTATTACATTATTCGACCTATTTCACTTTTTATTGTCTGCCAAACCAGAACAAAGAATAACTATAATCTAGATGCCTGGAAGTGAACTTATTTTTATAATCTAACTAGCTTCTGCCCGCGACTTCGTACGCGTAATCCCATTTTTTCCCGTCCTCGTTCGTGATTTTCGGTAAAAACTAAAAAAAAAAAAAATGTTTGTTTAAAAAGTATCCTATGTCGGTCTCCTGGCTCTAAGCTACCTCCTTACCAATTTTCAGCCAAATCTATTCTGCCATTCTTGAATTATAAGTGGTGTAACTAACACGACTTTCTTTTATATACAGTAAAACCCGCTTAAGACGATTTCTCAGGGACCTTACCAAAAACGCGTCTTAAGCGAGAAAGCGTATTATGCGGGATAGGGAAAATAAAAAAAGTACTACTTATTATTATGTAATATGTTCTAATTTTTGTAATTATACATTTATAAATTACGTTAAATACGTAGTGTAATTAAAATTACATTATTTAAAATAATCACTTATTTTGGTTTGACAAAAAGATTTTGATGCATTAGCAATTAAAAGATATTCAACATAATTCAACTTTTGCAGTGCGTCTTCGCTTTGATCCATAGAAGCTACATAGCGTCTTAAATCATAAACAGCTGATAATGCCTGGGCGTTTGACAAAACTGGAGTTGACTCATCTTCGTCTTCATCATTATCACTTAGGGCTTCGTTTTGTGTGTTGTTCACATTCTCAATAAGATCTTCAATTGATTGAATTTCGTACGGTGCTACATTGTCATCAATAGAAGAGTATCCAGGAAAACCCTGCAGTATCTCGGGTTCTTCTTTTTCCAACACGACGTCTGGAGCGCTGACCTCTCTCGCTGCTCGGCGTGTATTAAACGGGATGACAGATCGTATTAAGCGTTAAGAAATGTATGAAAATATATTTTAAGTTGCAGGGACCGACGTAAAATGGCGTATTATGCGAGAAATCGTATTAAGCGTGATCGTCTTAAACGGGTTCTACTGTATATAGATTAGTACGAATACTACGAATCTATAATTCGTGTTCCGGATGAAGAGAATTCCAATGCCATTGAACAAAACAAACTTATAATTTTATTTTTCCTGTTAAAACAGTACTGATAACTCAAAATATTAATAAATCGATAGACGGAAATAACAATGGCGGCCGACAACCATACAATAAGTTGTGTAACATGATAAAACAAAAAAAATCTCATTACAAATGTTACAAAGTTTTTGTACTTAGTAGTTGACCATGACTCTATTTAATCAGTTCAAGCTGACTGAACCTACTTGAGCCATTTAATTGACTTCTAGGGGAAAAACCAATCTTGTAAGGAAAACCATAAGTGTTATCAAAACACAATGCAGTTTTAAAAGAAGTCACTATAGTCTACCAAATAAAGGACACTTTCCATTGAAACAAATAAATTTATGACGAACTCAATTTTCATAAACGCAAATGTTATATTAGCTAAGACCACAAAAGACATTTACATACTTACTAGATAAAATAAAACAAGTCCGGGTGCAGAATAATGAGATCCGTATAAGAATTTTGGTTCACTCATCTCATGGTACCTTTCTTTGAGTCTTTCCAGTCTGTCTGGGTTTAAAGCCCCCATTGGTTTCGATAGATCTCTAAATGTATCTGGATTTGTTAGGTCTAAAGTTTCTGAAGTGTAGTCGGCTACTACCCAAGGAAATACTGGATACTGTGTGAGATCATTCTTGCTCCTATCTGCAAGGCTGAAAGTTAACATAGGTATTATTAATAATACAATAGTTGTTTGTGTTATTAGTATTACTGTCTTATAAATAACAATAAAAAAATAATGTTTACTCTTTGGCCAAATAACAAAGTAGTCAGTGCTCCAAACGCTGCTTCTGAAATACAAATCAGCGAATCAGTTGTCAAATCCAACATGAAATATTGTGATTGATCTTTTATATATGTTTTTATAACATTGTTTCATTATCCAACCACAACATTTCACACGAATTTGACAACAGACAATATTTTCAGTGTTAGAAAATTGTCAAATTCTTACCAATTTAAATACATCAGGTAATCATAGTTGGAAACGATTCCATTCTGCCACTGCAGTGTCATTTCTTCTGTGTGAACCTTCTCTAGCTGCACATTGGGTGATTCTTCCAGAATCTTGTATATTCTATCCCTATCTCTTTCTGACTGAAATGTTACATATATGTGGGGAACTGAGCTCTCCTCTGCACTGTATATTTCCAGCCCCTGAAACAAATATTAAAAACAATTTGTATTTGTGTACAGAACAGATCATTCAAAGGTTTCTAGCAACTTTTTATTACTTTACAAAAAGTATTTATTAAGTCCAAAGAAATTAAGTCAACAAAAGCTAATTTACATATAAAACTATGCAAATAAATAAGTACGTAAAACAGATACATACAACTTGCCTTAATAAAAATCTTCTTTTATACATCCTTCTTAAATGGCTCAGTTTCAACTTAAGGATAGGGCTCTGAAATTAAAATAATATTCATGTAACCTCTATAATCTAATCTTTGCTATAAACATAGTTTAAAACAACAATGGAACTGAACAACTTGTTTATATAACATAAGAGCTATTGTTAAGCAAATATACATAGCTGATAGTGGTATCTAAGTCAACAGTGAAAACATATGCTAGCATACTAACAGATATTTATACACTGTGTAAAAAGTACCTTTGCTAGGTATCCTAGTCAAGTAAAGTATACAAGTCTTATGTGTTTTCAATCTCATGTTATCAAAAAGAATTTAATTAAATTATAAATTTTATGAATCACCACTAAACCATCTGATTCATAAAGTCAAGTCATATCTTAACAGTAGCATTTTTATCTAATATCTAGTTATTATTAGAAATGACAACAATTAATTGGATTATTAAACTTACACCTTCAACATTACTGAATGGCTGGAAATAAATGGTAGTTGGAGTTAATGCTAGCTTGCCCTGATGTCTGACAAGAGGAGAGATTTTCTCAGCTTGTAGTTCACACACTATTTGTTCAGTGAAGTCATCCATCATGACAGGATCAAACTCCATCCTCATGTACCTAGAGTGGAGTATTGTGGCTATCATACTATTGTGCTCAGGAGCATGTAAAGTAGAGGCCCTTTTAAGCTGCTGCATCTGGCTCAAACATTCATCAGCTGATGCAAAATCAAAGAACACATAAAAATCTCTATCTTCATAAATAAATTTATAAGGTGCCAGTATGTTCTCCTCCAGCATCTCAGCATACATCTTCATCCTCACTCTAATAATGTTATTCTCAGTTAGCTGGTTTACTACTGTGATGTCAGCACAATCTTTGAATTGCATCTTTATAAGTGGGTGTACCCATTCTCTGGGCTCAAAGACCAGAGACTTGGAACACAGTTTTAATCGACCTTGTTTCGCATTTTCTTTCTTTAACTCATTATCACTGAGTGTACAAGAATAATCCTCGAAATAAATCTCGCCTGGCTCCAGTAACAACATTGAAAATCTAAAACAAAAATATAGGCAGTTTGTAAATGGGATTATAATAGACTGTGACAAAAGGTCAGCTCAAATCTGCATTTTAAACTTTCAAAAGAGAAATTATTACACGAAGCAACAAATGCACACCTTTTATGAGTGACGAGACAGTAAACCATCTAGATCTCACATTCAGTTAACATTGTCATCTGATTACAATTTAAGACTTTGCCCTACAAAAAAATCATGCAGCTTTGCATTGTGACCGTTACGGAATTGCACAATACCGAATGAGTCATTTCGTTCAGGAGATACTTCAGTAAGCCATGGAAACAAAGATTGCTAGCAAAACCGCATCTTACCTCGACTTATCCATATTGTCGACGAATCTAATTGGAAATATTCACTTATACCAAGATTTTCAAATACAACTTAATTTACTTAGTTTTACATTCAATAAATCCGCGTGATACAAATAAACAGAAAAACTTTCACCGTCTTGTTTATTGTTTACCGCTGTGTTTGGTTCCAAATGTTGCAATGTAAATGTACCAAACTTTAGTCAACCAACCAGTAACCAGACCAGTGTCAATAATGTCATAGTCAAATGAAATCTGACATCAAACTTTGTCAATGTCACGTTGACATTGACGCCTAACAGAGTCGTTTCGTCTAAAAATCCACAATGACCAGTATAAGTTCACTAACAGAAATTGTTTAAAAATATGTTTCTCTCTGTGTTCATACTCATAAGCACTGCAAAAAAATCTAAAAAAATAATCATTTTTAAGAAAAATTAGTCAAGAACATCATTTTTTGTCTCCCTACTTCAATAAGTCACATAAATCCAATAAGATTTTTATTTCTGAACGTTTTTATTCTAATCTGTGGTGCACACATTCTTTTTGAATTTGACATTTGTATTCAAACGGTGACACCTGACACAATGACACCGTGACATTGCATTTGCTTTGGCGCTTCTTTTCAATTTGATGATCTTTGATAATTTTCATCGATCATAGTAAAATATATACTAAAGTCTGAGGAAGAGTGGACTCAAAGTTATATCAATGTTAAAAATAGGTCTATCGAATATGCAAGACGACAGAAATGCTATATTCCAAATGCGTTTTCCTCAAAAACTGTGGTACTTACTAAATTTCCGCACTGATGCCATATTATGGGGTGGTACAGGACGAACAATTTTGTTGAATTATCGTATCCTTCATAACTACTTGCAATGTGATCATTCTATTTTTAAAACAACAAATATTTCAAGTTTTGTGCGACAGCTAAATCTGTATGGGTTTCGAAAGGTCACTTCTCATTTGCAAGATCCTTTGTGTAATTCTAGCAACCCATACATGCATGAATATGTTCACGACTACTTTCAATATGGTAAACCTGAATTACTAAACAAAATAACGCGTAAAGCTCTTGCTATGAAAAGAAATTTCAAACCTAAGGTATGAAATTGTATTCATTTAAAACTACAATGTTTATTTAATTTTTATACTGACCTAAGTTTATCTAAAGTAGTTTATTTTCAGAATCTCTACAGTAACGTTGAGCAATTACTTTTTTTAACACCACTGCAAAAGGCAAGACGAGCTTTGCGCATGGCCCTAAAGAAAGCAGCTCAAGATTTATTTGTTCAGAATTCACCAAAGCACTTTTGTAATCTTAAGTTTGAATGTGATGGTAAGTCTACAACACATACTTATTTTTTATCATTACCATGAAGTTTTCCCTATAGGAACTAAAAATGTAATCCCTATAATATTTCAGATTCTCAAGATGATTATTGTGAAGATGAAGAAAATATTGAATTTGATTGGTTAATGACTAATGATGCCAGCACAGATAAAGCCCTTCCTGAACCAGGTTTATTATCCTTACTTTGTAATTACCTATTTGTTTCCTTCCCATACCTCCTTGTGATCCTTTCCTGTCCACAGCTAATGTCCCAGCTCCTCAAAACGAAACCACTATAGCTGAAGAGACTGCTACATACAGGTAAAAGGAATGTAAAGGTAACAAAATTAGATAGACATGAAATAAACTTCTAACACTTGAATCCATTACAGGGATACACCTCAGGATAGTCTTATGAATTTCACTGATGAAACTTGTCAACAAAGTGGTGACAACTTCCCAGTACAGTTTCTCAGTATGCCTGAACTTGATCCGGAACCTTCTGAAGAGAACTCTGGTGTTGAATTGCTGGCTGAATTTAATATAGACAATGATACAGACCAAGGAATTGCAAGGAAAATAGGAGAAGTTAAAGAGATTGATCATAACTCACTGAATTGTGTGCTGCCATCAATCAGCAATGATCATATTGATGATGTGTCTATGTCAATGGCTGAAGTAAATATTTTATTTCTTTAAAACTACATATTACCATCAGTATAATGTTGTCTATTTTAATCAAGAGTAAATTTATACCTTTGTGAATAGATACCAGACTAATGACATTTCTGTTTCAGAAGAACAATGAAAATTCAGATCACTATCACGGTGAATGGGACCAAATGTTCAATGATATTATGATCACCAGAGGCCCCAATCAAGAATGTGGGTCTGATTTGAAAGAATTGTATTCTCAAATTTCTAAAACTATTGATTTGCTTAATTCTTAAGTTAATTATTATTTAGTTAACATAAACAACTTGTAATTTCCTTAAAAACATGTATTAGTTAATATAGAAAAGTGTGCAACACATAAAGATATTACTTCTTCTGTTTCTTCTTCTCTGCTTCTTCCTCCTTTTCTTTCTCTATGATAGACACATATGAGCTGATGGTGTCGGAATCCAGCATCTGCATTGGTTGACCACGTCTCATCACTGCTATCTCCAAGTTCTTTTGTCCAGACTGAACCACTTCAAGGAGAGCACGAATGGCAAGCTAGAATTGTAATAAGAACAAATTATGCATACAAAATGGGAACATGGTGCCTGTTCTTGTCGCTAATTTTATTCTAATAGTATTTAGCTAGACTCCTTTTTTTCTTTTCTAATCATCTGTTCTCCTATTTGACTATTCTCTACACATCATAATTAGTATACCATTCTTTCAAGCATGAATTTATTTCAAGATGATACTATTAGATTGCTAATGTGTGACCAATCATTACCTTAGGAGACCTGTCATAGTTTTATTATTCTATAATACAACAATGGAATAAGTTCTAAAACAATTATTTCAGTACGTCTTTTTTCCAGACTAACAGTAATTGGTAAATTGCTGCAATTTCTGTATTACTAAAATGCAATGTAGTTCTGCAATATAATCAAATGCATAGTGTATGCCTCTGTAAAACTGCAAAGCGCAAGAACAGCTTACAGGTGTTTTAAGTTCAAAAGGAGGCAGATTACAATGAAGTCTAAACTGTTACATTAGTGTCAGAATACAACACTTACCTTTACAGCACCATTTTCAGTAGCAACTTCATCAGCAGTATAATTCTTTTCTAAGAATTCTCTGACAGTTTTAGCTGACCTGCCCGTAGCATTGGCCTTCCACTCATAGTAGATTCCTGATGGTTCTGTTTGGAATAAATGAGGATGGCCATCATAATCGAAACCTCCAATCAAACAAGAAATACCGAAAGGTCGACGTCCATTGCTCTGGGTGTACTTTTGTTTTAGTCCAGCTATGTATCGAGTAATGTACTCCAAAGTCACAGGGTCCTCAACCGTTAATTTATGCGATTGACACTCAATTTGAGCCCTGTTGATGAGAATACGAGCATCTGCGGTCAAACCAGCAAATGCCATTACGACATGGTCGTCAAGCAGACAGATCTTTCTCACAGTTCTTTCTTCTTGCAATTTTGCAACTGATTTCTTTTCGACACCTAGTACAACTACATCAGCGCCTCTCACACCGACCTGAAATGAAATAACGTGATTCAATTTCATAGTAAATACATAACATCGGTAACTTGAATGTAGCTAACCAATAATTATTACATACCGCAGTCGATCCTTTACGAACTGCCTCCTGGGCATATTCCACCTGAAGTAAATGACCATCAGGTGAAAATACCGTAATAGCTCTATCGTATCTCGCAGACATTTTCTTATTTTGTTAGAATACAAATATTTTACAAGTCACTCCGTAAACTATTCGGTCGCCGCAAACTGAGTAGTGATGTGAAACTTGACAGTTTCAGGTAGATATCGATGGACAATAGAAAAAGCGAAATATATTATTTATTCCTCCATAATGTACTGTATTCCTTTCTATAAGTATATAAACTTATCTTATAGGTGGAAGTCATCAGCTTTTATTTTAAGAATGGCCATGACTGATTTTCTATAATTTTAGAGTGCATTTCACAAATGTCGATATAGAATACAACACTATTAGTAGGATGACAACGGTGTTTCGATAATAATTCGTTCAGAAATAGTTACATTTCTAAATGGTAAATCGGTAAAATGTGAAATCTTACGAAAGTACAGATAAGAATGAAGATAAAAAAAAATAGCTTATTTCAGTAAAATTCCAAATATTTTTCTGTTTAGATTGTCCGCTTGATTTTGTTATATTTGGGAAATTGTTACCAGCAACAAAAAATATCCAACTTTGAAGGAACCTCAAAAATGTCAAAAACATTTTGAAAATTGAAATTTCAAAAACTCTAGCAATATGGCGACGGCTGCGAGTGACTTTGAGCCATGGCTAAGTGAAAAATTAAAATCGTTGAAAACTGACGAAGGAGTTTTCGGATCATACATATCAGGTATTTTAGAAAGCGAAGACAGTGTGGATGAAAAGAAAGATGCTTTAGAAGGCATACTATCTGAGATAGTGGTAAGTTTCTGAGTTGTATCTGAACTAGGATTGCCTTGGTTATTTTCTCTAATTATATTTGTGTTATTACAGGAAAAAGACATTTCAACACACATAGACGAGATAATCGAAAAGTGGGAGTCATGTCGACCAAAGGAAGAACTCCCCAAACCTGTGACAGACGTAGATGTGAGACTAGCCCAGTTGTTAGAATCTCAAGCTCCATCCACAACGACACGACGAGAGTATACAGATGAAGAAAAAAAAATTCGGGAAGCTATATTGTCACAATATAGCCAACTTTCTGACAATGAGGTTTGTAGTAGTAGTAATAATAGAACTTCATCAAATATTAAAGAGGTTATGTGGTTTGAATTGATTCTATTGTAGTTGCACATAATATAAAAGTATTATTTTGTATTTGTATTCCAGGAAGATGTTGCAAATGATGAAGAAGCTGCTAGTCCTGACTTAGTAAAGAATACAAATGCAGCAGATGTGCATGCTGCAGCTCGTGAACGTCGTGAACAGGCTCGGCTTGATGCCCAGAAAAAGAAAGAAAAAGATAAGGAAGACAGGTAAAATAAAATTGTGTATTATTATTGTGAAATATATCTAATATGTCAAGAATCATGTTCATGTGTATCTTTTATTGAAAACAATTTATAATTCTTAATTATTATTTTACAGAGAAAAACAAAAACAACTAAAGGAGGAGAAAAAAGAAAAGCGCAAGACACAAAAAGGTGAAAGGAAAAGGTAGCAAACCAAATGTTGAATACTTGGCTGATTGTTCAAGATTGCTTTGTGAATATGATGTTAAAATCTTGTTAATATTGCTCAATATTGCACAAATGCAAGCTGAACATTCATATACCCATGTGTCTTAGTATGATTAATGTACTCTAATACGAAGCAATAACTTCTGTTTTGTTCAGTATAAAGAGGATGGTCATATGCAACTATTTAATTTCCATGAATACAAAACTATACATTTTTTAATGTTGATTACGTTTTTCACTTAAAAGTATCAATGTGGTGTAGACATGATGCAAAATAATTAAAAGATTATTTAGATTAACGACAATGAACACTTATAGTATAAATAATTTTGAATAACACATGAAGTGCTGTGCAGGAACATGGATCCATGTAAGGCAGTCAAGTGGTTATTTAATAATTTAATACACTGAAAACATAATGTTAACTATTTATAAATATTAATTTTTTATGCCTTTGATTGGGAAATATTATATTAATATCTTGTCTATTGGCCATAGCCACCAAACTAAATGTACTTACAGATCGTGTTTCCTTGACGGCTTTGTGGCCGAGTGTGACAGATATCGCCATATTTTGTTTGTTGGCTATAGCTGACAATTGTGTTCTAAAGGTTTAAGTTGTAACTACAAATTTTTAAATGGAAATTAATATCTTTCAAAGTTATAATGAAGCAGATACTTTTGTAGTATTTTTAACCTTTGTTGGTCTTAAAATCAATTATTAATACAAAAAATATGATATTATATTAATATCTTTTTTAATTATTTGTTCCTAATTTGTTATAAAAACCTTTGATTCATTAAACAAGTTGCTGTGACCTACTCAACTATGTAATTGTTAAGTTTTGGTATTATTTTGAACTGGTATTTAGATTGTATGATAATTCAATATTTCCAAGCTACCTAACACCAATGTGTCTCTTAAATTGTTAGGATTTTTAGAAGTTGTTAAATTTTAATAATGGAGTGTAAAATTATTTTGCATTTTGTAGGTACTTTGATATATGAGCTAAAACTAGGAATATATCATGTTATTAAATTAAAATGTGTTTAATAATACAATAATATTGTTTTCATAGTAATGAAATTGAACTATTTTATATTTTTGAGCCAGTGATGCTAAAAGATTGAAAACTATCAAGAGAACACATTATTGTGTTAATTCAGGAGTTAAAAGTATAGTTATGTAACACTAATATGTATATGTATATCAGGAGCACAAAATACAGGCAGTATGCTTTTGTTACTCTTTCGCACTAAAAGCATACTGTCATGCATTAGTATTTATTTGTTCTGGTTATTCTGTATGCATTTCAAATATGCTTTTTAGTCATTACTATAATAGTTGTTATTTATTATGATGCTGTACATGTGTAATATTTCAATAAAATCACATGTGCAAGTGATGTATTGTTTTATTAATAAAACCATATAATATAATTAGGATAAAATTAAACGAGAAAATAAATCTTAAAGATAATCAACAGATTATATCTTCATTGATTTGATAAAAGCACAAGGGTAAATAATAGTCCCCTGTGGACTTATAAAGCAACTGCATGCTTGCATGCATTATCACGCCTATCGGCTATTACAATTCTAGACAAATCATGTAAAACAATAATATTTGTATACAAGAGTGGCAGGGCTTCAAAAATTCAATAGAAAAACTAAGTAATCACTAGACAACTGATGTAAATACTTAAAACTATAATACATTTTCTTAATTATAAGTTTTTCAAATATCTTTACATTGTTCTTAATAAACATAAATGCCCTTCGCATATGAAAAACAATTACAAATGTGCATGCAAATTATTATTGTTTTACTAAGGTATTTGCAATTCGCAATATGGACTAGTATGAGTCATTTATGATTACACAATGATTTCACTGTTGGGTGTGCCTATGGTTTATCACAGATAATAAAGTTATCTTTTATACTTATTCTTCAATCACAACAAAATTTTGAGCTCCACCAGCATAGATTTGTGTAATTTTTTGATTCTTATCTATTTCTAGAGGCACTAAAGTTGGTTTTACTATTTGGTGTCCTAAATCAATGGCTGTGTTGAAATGTTCATTCCAGCCCCAAGCCCAGAGAGTATTGTCCGTTGCTAAACAAATAGTGTGCTCAGAACCTACTGCAACATCTTTTACTTCTCGACCCTCTGTAACAAAAATTATATTCGAACATGAAGAAAATAATAAATTATATTAGTCTAATAGGTAATGTAAATGAAAGTAAAAAATCATTTAATACTGTGGTCTACATTATAACTCACCTGGAAGCTTGATATGTGTGAATGTTCCTGGTGGGACAGCTTATCTGTGCCCAGTTGTCCATTGTTATTTCTACCCCATGCTAAAAGACTACCATCTTCCAGCCATAATATTACATTAGTCCATCCACTTAATAACTTTTTCACTTCTTGTTTCACATCAATATCAATCTTGTTTGGTGTATATATCTTTTTATATTTTTCAGAACATAGTAAGAGTTGGCCATGTTTATTGTCTCCCCATACATATAAGGCTCTCTCCTCTGAACACCAAGCTACGGTATGATTTTGCCCACAGGCTATGTGAGAAATTTTACCAACACCCTCTACTTTCTGGAACCTGTCAGAAGACAATACACTGTTCCCTAATCCAAGTTGTCCATGCCTGCCACATCCTGTAGTCCACACTTCACCTTTAGAGTTTACTATGGCTGTATGTCTTAGGCCCATAGAGACTAGAACAGCATTAATAGGAAGTCTTATAGGTTTCATGATTTCTGAAAAGTATTCTTTAGGAGTTGTTGGTACACCTAGTTGGCCATATGAATTGGAACCCCAAACAATTAAGAACTGGTCATCTGTTACTCCACAGCTGAAGTCCCAGCCGCAAACTATGTTTGTAAAAGTAACACCACTCAACGGCCATGTTCGTTCTAACTTATGTACTTCAGTTTCTCTCGCTAGTTGTAGTTTTGAATTCCATCCACAAGCATAGAGTTTGCCCTCGTTATCTAAAAGGAGTGTATGACCACCTCCACAAGCGATTTGGTTTATTTTACAGTGATACAAATGTACTTCAACTTTTGTTGGCTTCTCTATTTGTTCATTTGCAATACCCACACCTAATTGTCCATGTGAGTTAGCACCCTGAAAATATTATAATTAGTTACTGTGCTATTTACTTGTTTCTTGGAACCAACAATTTTTTTCTTACATGCTAATTATTCTAATTGTTTTATTAGTTCAATATTATATAAGAGAGTAATTACCCATGTCCATAACGCCATAATAGAGAGTATTTATATATTCAATCAAACAGCGGTATTCATTGGTGTTTTATTTTTTTAGTATGATTTCGAGGTTATGTTATGTTATGTATTTTGGTTTTGACTTTGACACTTGACAGGATTTTCGGCATGATACTATCATTCCGAAAATCCATAATTATTTATTTTTTATAATGGCAACATTAAATTGAAGGCAAAAGGGCCCTATTCTGCGCATTTGTACAAACAAGTTCTACGCTACATACATACAACGAATTGAACGAATAATATGAATTTTAAGACACTATTCAGTACCTAATAAAAAGTATTTAATCCCTTCTGACGCATTTCCACAGTTTGCCAGCAGATGGCGCTACATGGTAGTCACAGCAATCTTGAAAGTAGGTAGTATGTAATCATGTTTGCTAACTTACTTTATTAAGTTTTCTCAAAGAACCACAAAAAAATGACGTGAAACAACGGTTTCATTGTGTTTCATCGTGTTAATGAGGTTATCGGAGGCCCAATTGCCTCCCCCCTCCCAATCTCTCCAATCACTGAATCCCCAAATTCTTAGGAATTTGTAACACCTCTAGTGTTCCGGGTAGCCATGGGCGACGTTGATTACTTATCAGGTAATCCGTCTGCTCATTTACCGGTTTATCCCATAAAAAGAACAATAATTATCTTCTTTGTGTTAAAAATGTAAATGATTTATTTGCTTTTATTAGTTCTTAAGAATTTTATTGAATCACATTATGCGTAAGTGCGTGTGCGTTCTAGCCATGTGATTAATCACGTCTCATCCGCATCTGTTGAGTTGCAAACTTTCTGCTTGTTTGTGGGATTTGTCGAGAATTTGAGTCCCTAACTTGGGAAACTTTATTTCGTAAATAACACATTGTTATAAACGAGCATATAAAATATCTTTCATAATGTAGATATTACCTTCGTAATCATTATAATTAGGTATCTATCACGTACCTACCTATTCACAATTATATAAGTAAAAGTAAGGAGTAACTATCTCAGTAGGCTAGATAGGTAATTTGTATCGTAGATGGTTAGATTTAACCGCTAGCGCTAGTCATAATTACCACAGTTGACGAAACATTTATTCTCGCAATGGCCACTGTGCGGCTATGCACCTGCTGTAGACCCAGTGACTGTGAAATATTTACTGAAAATTCTCTCTTTTTTAACCGACTTCAAAAAAAGGAGGAGGTTCTCAATTCGACCGTATATATGCTTTTTTTTTTTGTTATGGCATAATAGTGTTCGGAACATGTCGCCTAACTTTTGACTTACATATTTTTGTCTTCAGTAAGAGTCACTCCCTCTCGCCTAACCCAAGACGGGAGAAGTCATTGCATGATTTTCCCCCTTATAAAAAAGCTACATTTTCTAAATGACATACATAAACCTATTTCCACAGAACTTTAAATTTCGAATTTGTTTGATAGCCAGTTATTTAACTTCACACATTTAAAAAGTTTGAGAGGTAAAGTTTCGTTTGCTATTTGATTTTGTTTATTTTTTTATTGGTTAAAGTTGGTACCTACGGGTTGCGACCTCGTAAGCTGCTTTGTGATACTTATAGTTGTACCTGAAGCCAATAAAGCGCATTGCTTGTTTACACACGACCCCGTGTAGGTAGGTACACTTATGTACGTGCTGCAATACCTATAAACTGGACTGAGAGAGATGAATGTG